AGACTCTTAAATCATCTATGGAATGCTCAGCCTTTTAGTTGCCCTAATGCCCTATCTTTACAATGCCGTGTTATTTGTTGACTCCATTATTTAACGCCATTGTATTGGATGACTCCATCATAAAAACATAATATAAATAATTGAATTACAAAGCTGGTTGTTAATAAAGCATACAGAATACAAAACCGCTCATTTGGTCAGCCATACTGCCTCTACCCACTGCAACCAATCAGCAATTCTCTTTCAATGGCACAGCTGCAGTAGTTCATTGAAAGGTCACATTTTATCATTTACTCTTGGTTATATTTGGGTTTGATTGACATTGTAGACTTGTTGCATGAAATTATAGTTATTTTTGGCTAGGTTAGCATTAGTGCCAATGTATTTATATAATACAGCAAGGGTTCTTAAACGTTTTGATTCGAACAACCAAATAGAAAAAATATTCCTGTAGTGGGATCCAACAAGGGAATTATTACTAATATCTAAAAAACCATACAAATAAAAATAGCTTTATATTAAAAACAAACAGGGAGTAAACATATTTCAATTGACACATAGTACAAAACCGAACATTAGCAAAACACAACCACGAAAGCTAACACATTGCCAATAATTATAATTCAAAACAGAGAATAGCTTCCCATGTGTCATTTCAATGCAAATGCTCATACACGAAAACTATTGGAAATGTCAGCGGTGGGTGATGGTGTCATGGAAAAGAACATGTATTGTGTTTTCATCCTATATAAACAATTCATTGACTGTATTGTTTATAGCTTGCATCTTAGATCCTAGGATATGATATAAATCATAGATAAAGAAAGTATGCTATACAACTCCCAACTGATTTCACGATATGTTTACCGCACGTTTTTTGTGGCAACTCATCACAAACACACCCGTAACCTAGTATGAGTTCCAACCCATTCTTTAATACAAGTAATACTGTATTGTGTTTACATGCTGTAGAGCCTCTAGAGCAGGGAAGGTCTACTACTGTCTGTTACAGGGGAGCCACAAAGAAATGCTTTCCTTTGATTTGCTGTTTGGATTGTAGGTGCTAAACACTTTGGCAATTCTAATCTAATGTATTTGATGTAAACTGTTTAGAATAGGAAGTTGTTACTGTCTCTCCCTTGCTATGGTAAAGATGCCGGCTCCAGCCTCCTGGGGAGAGACAGGTTGGTCTATTAAAGGGCCATTTGCATAAGCCACTGAGGGTGACACGGACACAAATTGTCCCAGAATAAACACCTGTCACTGCTTCTATAATCAGCAAATAAACTGTAATGTTACTTTAGCACATATATAATCTGTTTTTCTTCATTAAACCATTTTGCCCGCTCCCCGTGTGATATAGAAAAGTACTCTGTATATGCTGTGGGCCATTCACAGCTGGGCAGATAATTCTGATTAGGATTACTGAGAATAAACTTCAAAGAGGCTCCGCTGATGTGTCTGTGATGTTCTCTAATGTCACGTTAAGTTGGGGAAACTGATCCTTTAGAGATAATGAGACCAGTAGTTCAAGTGTGATTTAGTATTCACATGCATGCCCGGCCACTAAACTGCTATCCAATGTGCTGCATGAGAATGGGGCTTTTCGTCTTCCTGGCATTGTAGTTATTGGGCCCTAAAAGCATGCATGCAGAGAAAAATTGTTGCAGGACCTGAAAGATTATGATGCAGTCTTGTGACAATCTAAGCAAGCATGGCGGAGGCTGCAGGCGCTTATGTATAAAGTGCCAAAGTCAGTGTCAGGCCTATAATATAAATTTCAAATGTGATTACATGATGCAAATGGCCTTTACAACCAGGATCAGGTGGATTGCTTAAATTGATCAGTCTGGGGATGTCTAGACTGGACAGGGATTGCACATATATCTCTTGTCTATAGGCACATTACATTAGATGTAAACCCATTATCAAAAATCTCATATACTCTTCAATATGTTAATGCAATTTCAAATGTAATTTTTATTCTGTTTAAATTCACAGCTTTTATTAAAATAATACCTGTTGATCCTTTAATATAAGTCTTTGTTTAAGTACTTCCTATTATAGGATGACAACGCTTTGTCCTTGTCTTCCAATTGCACCCTGTCACATGCATCCAGTGAATACTATAATTGACCCAGCTGATGCTCAATATGCAGGCATGTTCTGTCTATGTCACCATCAGAAGATCTTCCCTGAGCAATGAAGTGCAGCCATTGCTGGAGTACATATATGTAGAGAGGAAAGAGGCTGGAAATGGTCAACAGCACTGGAATGTAAAAACATGTTTTTCTAAACAAATTAAACTTCTACTTATGGTTTCTAGGTATTGATATCTACTGAGGGTCAGTCTTATTGAATAGAAAAGATACTACACAGCTCTGGTATTTAACATACCAGATCAGCAAAAGCACATCTATAGAATACTTAGTAGTTGATGTTGTGTACTAAGTCATTACAACTTGGATTTTGTTTTGTTTTAGCAAAGTTAAAGGTTCCAGCATACATCCAGGTCTCTGAAATATTTTACTGCAACATAATATAAGAAAGCATTAGTTATAGAACAGTTTGCGTTGAAGGTCGGGAACCGGCTGAGGGCCATAAGGCATAAGAGGTTTGTATGCACCCTATAATAACACCCCATTCCCAGTGTGCCTTATGTAAGAAAACAATTAAAGCAGATAATGTTAAGATGAGGACTGATGGGTTTTAAATGCCCACAAATATAGGAGGGCTGTCAGTGATGGTCATAATCCAACCATCATCTGACACAACTAACAGCCGACACTGTTTTAATCGTCTTTATAAAAAGTACTTGGGCAAATGGTCAAATGGTCTGTTCTCTAATTTAGTTGTGAGCAATGTGATGATTGTGATCGGATATCTAATTTATCTTTAAAACGTCATTCTAAAAATGTCCAACCCAGAAGAATAAAATGTTTCGATAGATATGACATCTCAAGAATGCCATGTGTTGTAATATATGCCTATGTTTGTGGCAGGCCATGTACATGTAGAACATTGTGGACATATCACTACCAGGGATCAGGTAGTGCTTGGCCAGTTTCTGGGAACCTCTACTGCTAAGACACAGAGACGGAGACCTACCGAATGCTAGGTGATATGCAAATAAAACTAGGCAGAGACTTTGGATTAGGATCAGGGGGAATAGACTTCAAAGAGGCTCCGGTGAAGTGTCTGTGATGTTCTCTAATGAACCCAGGCAGACAATGAGACCAATAGTTCAAGAATGACTGGCTATATGTGATTTTATAGTGCTGTAATGTGTAGCCAAGGTTTTGGTATATTTTTGAAATGTGAGGCACACGGACTAACCTTTTTCTACAAAAATAAAGATACAAAGGCTAGCTTATGCTATCAAAATAGGAACACACAGTATATCAGATCTATTTTGTTTCACAAAAGTTCATATTTATGTTATGTACTTAAATACAGCCCTTTATAATAGAATTTTTCTAAACTGAATAGTTTTTCAAACCATGCATTTAGAGGACATTCAGATTGTTTGATTGAAAAGGGATGTTTTATTTCCTGTTTATTCTTTGCACAGGCTCTTGTAGGCACCCCCAAGCACTTGTTTCTCAGGGGAAATAATTAGATATTGGACTAGGTAACCATTAATATCAGAAAATGGTCTCTTGATCCAATGTCTATGGAGAAATAGCTACTCGGAAGGATGAAAAATCTTGCATAATTGCTATTGCTTTTTTTTCCTTTTATAAGATGGCACCAAAGGTGTGAAAAGCATGCCTCGATGCCCTGCCCCATGCAAACTGGCTGATGCCACCACTCATGTGTAGTAAATTGCTGGCCAACACAGATGCCTGGCCTGATGGTAGTCAGATCATGTCTGTACATCCAATCTTCTTTGTGTCTGAAGCCTGTAGCAATTGGACCACAACTGTTCAATGAACGGTAACGGATCTTCCTTTGGATGCATGCACAGCCAGTTGTTGTCCAGACAGCCTAGTTTCAAGTAGAAAGACTGATGGTTCTTTCATGAGAAAAATAGAAAAGATAACCGGCCAATCATTTGGTTCCCCTTAGAAAAGTCTACAGCTGGGATTTTCTACTCAGTACATAAATATGCACAATCCAGAGAGTGCAGCAGGCCAGATCTTTCACCAGCCAAAATAAAAAATATATATTTTAGTGGTTGGATTGGGAAGACATCTGAATAATATTTTTAAGTTTTAAACATGCCAAAGATCTGCTTGTTTTGTCACTTTGGGTAAAACCAGAATGGGCAAACCATTCGATATAGGTCTGCAATGTGCAATGACATTTCTAAAACACATATTTACAATATTGTTCTCTTCTGTAACAAAATGCTACTTTACAGGACTCTGGTTTAGTCTCTCTTATGTGTAGGTCTTGGAGGTGGTACTATTTCTGATCAATTAGATCAGAAATACTGGTATACTGGAAGGAGCCATCTTTAGACTGACACATTATTTATGAATGTTTAGTTTACCAGAATGAATGAGTTGAATGCTGGTTCTGCCTAAAATGGATGGCCCCATTGTGAGTAGGAGACAGGTTCCATACTGTGTCTTGAAAATCAGCTGAGAGCACTGGCTATAATGAATTGCTTTTATTTGCACATCTATTCATGCATATGAATGATGGTTTCCTCAGACAGACGTTGGCTATTTTGGTTATTTGCAGTAGTGATTCTTCTATTTTTCGGTAGACCACACAATGTCTGCAGATCAGCATACACATAGCACCTTGTTTATGTTAGAGTGTTATGGCTTTTCCTTGGATCCTGTTCCACTGTTCTAAATGTTTTTTCTTTTTACAGAGATTCATATTCAAACTGAATTAATGTTGTGATCTCATAGATGTCAATGAAGCTTTTTAAGGTGTACATAGACATTAGATGCTCTTTTTTTACTTTATCGGTAGACATCTTATACCTATAAATCATATGTGTATGACGTTGGATTGAAGTCTTCAGAAACATTGGAAAACCTTACCTGATCGTTGTTTTCCCCCAGTAAGCCAGCAATGGAGGTTTCTGCAGAGCAGCCACTCATCCTCAATTAGATGTAGAAATCTCAAACAAGTAAAGAGAACTACATGTCCAATGGGCTACAAAACAGTCATTAAAAAACCGTATAAGCAGCAAAGACAAATGCAACAGACTAGTGCTGATGGAAAGATCAAAATACATCTTGTATATAACACACATATTTAACTTTAAATGTAACACACATATTTGTCTATCTACTGTATATCTAATCATATACAGTCTGAGCTTGCGCAACATACAGGATATATAGCTGGCCACAGACAGAATTATTTTTCTTCCTAATCTGACAAAGATTCAACACACTTTCATGATAATTGGTTAGTTTTGTGTGTAACAACTCTCACACAATTGCCAAGAAAATTGGCATATGCCAGGGTAACTGATTTTCCAATATGATGCACATACACATGCACATAAATAGCACATACAAGCATTAGCAAATTAACAGACAATAAACAATAACATATAACACAGACATAGCGCATGTATTACACTGATTCATTATAGAACTTTATTCATAGATTAGTTTTAACTATCATTACTTTTGTAAAACAAATTATCTAGCATTTAAGCCTACATAAAATCTAAAATATTTGTATAATCATGTATTTAATTTCTTTTAGAACATAGTTTTGCAAAATGAATGGGACATAATGCATTTACAACCAATTCAATTAATTATATATGATTTTGACTATACAGGCTGGCAATGTGAGAGTGTCAGGACTGCCAGACTGCAAACAAGAGAGGGTAGGATGTAACATTAAATGTAAATCAGGTATAAGTGGGTGAGCCAACTGAAGTCAGACATTGCGGAGCCAGTCCCCAGTATGGTGTTCAACGTGTGAATAGTGGGACACAATCTCTTTTCTTTGAGGTAATTGATGACAATTAGGTGGTGCTGATCTCTGCTTTGAAGTGTGTTTACACAAGCAGAACCTTTCTCTAGGAATGGGGTATAAAGAGGGTGAGGATCTCCTCCTAGCAATCACTTCAAGACCTCCTCAGCCAGTGAACACAAGGACTCAGAGGAGATGGCCAACAATTTTGCTTCAGTTGAATGGCTTTCCCAGAGCAGCCTGAAAGAGAAGACATCCTTCAGCTTACCCAGCTCTCCTGAGACACCAAGGGATGGTGAAACTGCTGCCTATTCTTGGAGCCCTGTAATGCATCCATTTTCCAAAGTCGCCCATGTGGCACCATACCCAGGAACCCAGCGACTCACCTTGTCTCCAATCCTGTGGGATTCAGATCTATCCAATCATTCCAGTGACTATGACATTTCTTCCTGTAATTTGGAGAGCCCAAGAATGTCTCCAGTTTTGCCTTGCACAGATCTACCACAGGGGGACCTGGTAGCCTCCCAGAACCCTCTCTACAATGGACTGTACACCAAGTCAGAAAAGAATTTCATCAACAATGTCCAAAAACCCACCGGCTCTCAAGATATTCCTTCATTTAGCCATGAGACTGAGAGACACACAAAGCAAAAAGACTTGAGTCATTCCGGTAAGTTGTGTTCCATATTTATAAACATTTTGTCTTTTTTTACCTAAATTGTAAAAGATACAATTTAAGCCTACACCGTTGTTAATTAAAGAGCATTGGCATTCTATTTATGTTTTAATGTTCCTGTATTTATATACTGAAGCTGTAGAGTTTGCTTTTACTTTTATTGTTTATTGTTAGTGATTATTTTTTATTAATTCAAATCCTTTCTTCATTTTAATAGGCTGCACTTCTAGCGCTGACTCTGGCTATGAGAGTGAAACCAGTCGATCCGATTCTGCAACCCCAGGAGCAGATAGAACAGAGGAATCAAGTGATGCATCTGATGAAGAGGGTAAAATGGGTCGCAGACTAAGAACAGCCTTCACCACTGAACAAATCGGTACCCTTGAGAGCACCTTCCAAAAACACAAATACTTAGGTGCAACAGAGAGACGCAAGCTTGCAGCCAAGCTCCAGCTGTCTGAAGTTCAGGTATGTACTCATTTATTTGCCTCTGCATTAGGTGATGATTGGATTGTAGATAAATGTTTATGACATATAGCTTTTGTTTGGATTCCCTGCCTTTGTTCTAAAATCATTGTAACGCCTTACCTATTCACACTTTTCTGATTTCCCCATTGTACAGACCACTGTTAGGTAATTCCCCATACTGTGTCTCCATCAGAATAATAATAGTCCCCTGAATGACTTAATTGTGTGTAGGATTGCAATGTAGCCTAAGCGACCTACTAGTAATGTGTGATGTGGCATCCATGCATTTATCTGACTGAGACATTGGTTCTTATTATTTTAGAATATGTTTCACGTGGTAATAATTTGAAAATGTATGTTTCATGTAGAACATTATATTAACCTCGGTGTTTATTTCTACAGATTAAAACCTGGTTTCAGAATAGAAGGATGAAGCATAAGCGTGAGATGCAGGAAGGTAGACAAGGCCAATTTCACCCTGCCCACATCTATGGTGTGTACGGGTACCCAACACAGCCTATGCAGGCCTATCAGTATGCCCAGCCGATGCAACAACACTATGCACCCAACCCTCTGCTGGATCCCATGTCTGTAACCTATGCTAGCCAAACATCTACCATGGAACCCCTTAACACCTTCAGCCATCCGCAAATGTCCATGATGTACCTGCCCCACCAGTCTGTCATGCCTCCTTCCTACCAGTATGAAGAACAGCAGTATGTGAGATATTGACATGCCAAAAACAATATTCCCCTATGAGAAGCTGCAAAGACTTGAAACCTCTCCTTTATCTTCATTCCTGAAAGACGCTTATTTGCACTAGGACTTTGTTCACTAAAAAATGTGTATTATATTTTATGGAAAAATAATTACAGGAAGCATTATTCATATTGAATAGTTTATGCATATATCTTGTATTTTTATACTTTTTTTGTTTTTGCCATGTTCAATGAAAATACATGTTAAATTAAATATTAAATAATTATAAATAAATAATATTATTTAAAGGTA